GGCCTTGTTCTGGCTGAAGATTTTGAACTTCTCCATTGTCTCTTGCCACAAATGTAGTCGATCTGATTCCTATGTACTCCATCTGGTGAAGTCCATGTATATAGTCACCCTTTCTGTTATTGAAAGAAGGTATTTGCAATTAATAAGTCATTGGCCTTACAAAATTCTATCATGTGATCTCCATTGTCATTTCTATCACCAAGGCCATATCTTTCAACTTCTGGTCATTCTTCTTTGTGTCCAACTTTTGCATTCCAATCACCAGTGATAATCAACAAATCTTGATTGCATGTTTGGTCAATTTCAGACTGCAGAAGTTGGTGAAAATCCTCAATTACCTCATCTTTGTCCTTGGTGGTTGGTGCATAGATTTTATAATAGTAGTATTAACTGGTCTCCCTTGGAGGCATATGGATATTATCCTATCACTGACAGCACTGTACTTCAGGGTAGATCTTGATACATTCTTTGTGATGATGAATGGCATGCCATTCCTCTTCAATTTGTCATTCCCAGCACAGTAGATCATGTGGTTATTTGATTCAAAATGGCACAAACCAGTCCATTTCAGCTCACTAATGCCTAAGATATTGATTTCTATGCATTCCATTTCATTTCTGACAGCTTCTAATTTTCCTAGATTCATACTTTGTACATTCCATGTTCTGATTATTAATGGATGTTTGCAGTTGTTTCTTCTCATTTTGAAGAGATGGAGCAAATGAAGGTCCTGAAACTTTACTCCATTCACATCATTAAGGTCGGCTCTACTTTGAGGAAGCAGCTCTTCCCCAGTCATATTTTGAGTACCTTTCACCCAAGGGACTCATCTTCCAGCACTGTATTGGACAATGTTTCAGGGCTATTCATAAAGTTTTCCAGTAATCTATCAGACATTGTTTCACTGCAACTCATTAGGTTTTCACTGGCCAATTCTTTGAGAAGTGGATGGCCTTTTTCTTAGGAGTCTATCTTAGTCTGAAATTATTTTATTTGTACAGGTAAATATTTGTCATTTAATTTATCTTTTTTAAATTTCAATGTAAATTCATTTTTTTCAAGAACATTTTAAGATCATATTAAGACCATATATACATATCTATATCCATTTACAGGTTTTCTATTCTAATCCTTGTGCCAGTAAAACATCTAATTACCATAACTTATAGAAGATTTATAAATCTTGATAGCCAATAGCGAAACTTCTGCCTTTCTGTTTTTGAAAGTGCCTATCAAATTCCACAAAGAAACCATTTGCAATTTTGATTCAGACTGTACTGAATATTTAAATCAGTTTGGTGAGCATTCCAATTCTAAAAGTATTATGCATTTTAATCATGAATATGATATATACCTGTACTTATTTAGATCTTCATTTTTTCTGTACTCATGCTACTTGCTGAATTTTTTTTGTTTGTTTCCCCATTCTGTAACTCAGTATGTATTTTAATTCTAGTATAGATAATTACAGATATAGAGCCATGGAAAATACTAAAAACAACAACATTTCCAAGTATTAAAACATTTTCAATTCTATATGTTATTGACATTGACTGTACAGTGTGCAAGTTGAATCCTTCTTTTCTAAACATTTATTAGGGGATGTATACTATAAGAAGTTAATTTAACTGTAAGTCCTTGTATGCCTGGACCTTGATAAAATCCAGAATCTGCTTCTAAACTATGATGGCAAGTATGCATTCCTTGGGAAAGTGCCATAGCTATGTATATCTATATATACATAACATATGTATATATAGATAAATGAGCTCTGGTAGCGTAGTGTCTAAGGCACTTGACTGCTAACCAAAAGGCTGGCAGCTCAAACCCACCAGCCTCTTCTCAGAAGGAAGATGAGGTAATCTACTTCCATAATGATACTGCCTCGGAAACCCAAGGAGGGGTCACTACGAGTTGGGTCTGACTCGATGGCACATAACAACAACAACATATTTATGTATCCTTAACCCAAAACTAACATATGTCTCATATGATGTGAAGCTGGACAATGAATAAGGAAAATCAAAGAAGACTTGTTTCCTTTGAATTACTGTGTTGGTGAAGAATATTGAAAGTATCATGGGCTGCCAGAAGAACTAACTAATCTGTCCTGGAAGAACTGCAAATGGAATGTTTCTTGCAAGTGAGAAAGGCCAGACTTCATCCCACCTACTTTGGTAATGTTGTCAAAAGGGACCTATCCCTGGAGAGGAATATCATGGACGGTAAAGTGCAGGGTCATCGAGAAAGGGGAAAAACCTCAACAAGATGGATTGACACAGTGGCTGCAATGATGGGCTCAAGTATAGCAAAGATTGTTCTGATGGCACACAAATGTGCAGTGTTTCATTCTGCTGTGCATAGGGTCACTATGAGTCAGAGCCAATTCAATGGCAAAAGAATCAACATTGCTTGTTGAAAGGGAAGAGGTCTTGAAGGACTTACTAATGAAGGTTGAAGACTACAACCTTCAGTATTGATTACACCTCAAAATAAAGGGCAAAAATTGTCACAACTGGACCAATAAATAACACCATGCTAAATGGAGAAAAGACAGAAGTTGTTAAAGATTTCATTTTACTTAGATCCACAATCAATGCCCATGGAAGCAGAAGTAATAAAATCAAAGAGCATACTGCATTGGGCAAATCTGTGGCAAAGAGCTGTTTGAAGTGTTAAAGAGCAATCATTTCACTTTGAAGACAAAGGTGCACCTGACCCAAGCCATTGTATTTTCAATAGCTTCATATGCATATGAAAACTAGACAATGAATTGAGAAGACCAAAACATAATTGATGACATTGAATTATAATGTTGGCAAGAACATTGAATATACTCATGGACTGACAGAAGAAAGCATAAATCTGTCTTGGAAGAAGTACAGTCAGAGTTCTCTTTAGAGGAGCGGATGGTGAGACTTTGTCATGTATTCTGAACATGCTATCAGGAGGGCCCAGTCCCTGGAGAAGAACATCATGCTTGGTAAAGTGGAGGGTCAGCGAAAAACAGGAAGTCCCTTAGCAGGATGGATTGATACATCGCTGCAACAATAGGCTAAATATTTTGCACAGGAGGATCCAGCAGTGTCTCATTCTGTTGTATACAAGGTCACTATGAGCTGGAACCAATTTGAATGCACCTAACAATAAAAATATTCAATAAAATAAAGCAGTATTTAAATATATTTCCTATCTTATTACATTTACAGAATCATGGTCTATATTTTGCCAAATTAATCATCATCTTTTCTCTAACATACATGAAAACAAAATTTCATTGAAAAGTTGATTTAAAATATATTCTTGGGGTGTAATAATAGCAATAATAGCAAAGTTCAACAGGACAGAAAATAACAAATGCTGGTGAGATTGCAGAGAGATTGGAACTCTTGTGCACTGCTGGTGAAATTGTAAAATGGTATAACCATTGTGGCATATTGTATGGCATTTCCTTAAAAAACTGAAAAGTAAAATACCATTTGACTCAGAAATTCTGCTACTAGGAATATTTCCTAAAGAGGTGAGAGGCAGGACATGAACAGACATAAACACACTTATGTTCATCGCAGCACAATTCCCTATAGCAAAGAGATGGAAACAACCTAAATGCCCATCAATGGATGAACGGTTAACCAAATTATGGTATAGTCACACAATGGAATACTATGCTACATTAAAGAACAATGAAGGATACATGAATCATCTCACAACGTGAATGAGCCTGGAGGACATTATGCAGAGTGCAATAAGTCAATCACAGAAGGACAAATACTGTATGAGCCCATTACTGTAAAAAGACAAAGAAGGGTTTGCTTAAGAAAGGGAACTCACTTTGTAGGTTACTGAGATGGGGAGGGAAGGGGAGGGATTAATTTTGGGCTAGTTGGGGTCCACACATTGACATGGGTAAGGAGAGGGATGTATAGAAAGAGTCTGTGACCACCATGAAAACGTTAGGAAAATGGAGAACACCAAATTGTGCACATAAGATATAGACGACAGATGCTAATACCAACCAGTATATCCACAAAACTGCATTATCATTGACACCAGACACCTGGCTACAGATAAACCAACAAACAACTGAGAAGATCAGATGAGGGTCAGTAAACAGGAGTATACTCTAGACCAAGGATAAATTCAGCAGAGGCTAATCTTGCACAGATATCAGTGATACAAAATACCTGCAGTCCTTATAGAAACATCATATGACAGATGCAGAGTAATCCCTCATAGACAACCAGACACTGTGGGAGAGAGATCCAACAGATCTCCCTACTCAGGACCAAAATACTGGGGGACACCAGAGTCAATTGGCATAACAAAATACATAAAAGCCTTGTTCCTCATCCTACATTGGTGAATAGCGACTGGGGTCTTAAAAGCTTTCAAGTGGCCATCTAAGATGCACCAAACGGTCTCCTATTGTTGGAAGCAATGAAGAGTGCAAAAAAAAGAGGGGGGAGTATTTGGAAGCAATCAGCCCTAGTACATGATGGCCCTTGAGACCAGAAAAACTAGATAGTGTCCAGCTACCAATGCTAACCATTCAGGAAAGGATCAAATCTGGAGATCCTGGATAGAATGGGAGGAAAAACATGGTACAAAATCCAAAAACTAATCATGACCAGAATTACTGGTCGGATGGAGTTTGGTGAGACCCCCAATAGTATGGCCCTGAGATTCATTCTGGGCCTGGAATAAAACCCATTCTCAAGGGCTGCTTCTCAGCCCAATAGTAAACAAGATGTACATGCAGGGTGACACACCCATATACCCATATACATTAAAAATCAGACAATCTGTCACTGTTACATTGAAAATAGAAGTATCATAATGTAAGTTTAAATTTTTATGATAAATATTTGGTCAGTGTAAAATTTTATTATTTATTGAAGAAAGCTCCATTATTACCATTTTACATGATAAAATGATATGCCACCACTGTTTATTTAAAAAAAAATAAGAAAAATAGAAAAAACAAAATTTTCAATTCTTACCTTTGATCCATAAGAAATCCAATGGAGGTCAAGGTCAGGATAATGAAGCCAATCCTCAGAAGGAGAGTGATCTGTGATAATGCCTGTTAAACAAGCACAGAGACCAGTGTATCCTCTAGAAGCATTTTAAGAAGGAATATTACAATTCACATCTGACAAGGAAAATAGTTCCCTATTTTATTTTATATTGCAGCATTTATCACAAACTCTTTTCAAATATATTGATATGCAGATGGCATTTTGGTTTTCCTAATGTCATTCAGTTATGTGTTGAACACGTGGTGAATGGAATACATAATTCCACAATGATAATTCACAGGAAGTGTTCTTCCAGGAAATTTTCCTTTGAAGTTTTGTCTTTCATAATTTTTGATGCATGTGTGGCCACATTTAGAAAAATTCACTCGCACTTTTGTGAATAAATACCATGTTCTGAAGCTATTTTTAATGTCACCAATTCTGTATGGTTTCAAAGCCAAAGTTTTCTTTAATAATGACAGTCCAAAAACATTCAAAAGAGAATGTGCTTGTGAGAGCAAATATATATACACATACATTTGTGTGTGTCAAATATTTTTCATATAAACAACCACCATCTGACTTAAAGTACAACCCATAGTTACAAACCAACCCATATAAAGCCTATCATATTAAAAACTCAAGGTACATAAAAAAAAAAAAGGTTGTAATAATAAGCTGGGGCTACTTTGTGATGCCCATCAAAACATCATTATTATTATTATTAGGGCCTTCAGGTTGTTTCTGACTCATAGTGACACTTTGTACAAAAGAACAAAACAGTCCCTGGTATGCTGACATCTTCAAAATCATTGCAATGTTTGAGCACATTGTTGCAGCCACTGTTTCAATCCTTCTTGTTAATGGTCTTCCTCTTTTTTGCTGACTCTCTACTTGCACATTGCAAGTTGTTAATGAGTCTTCCTCCAATCTTGATGCCGTGTTGTTCCTCATGTAATCCAACTTCTCAGATTATTTGCTCAACATAGAGATTGAATACATATGTGAAAGAATATATATTTGATGCATTTTCCTGCTTTTAAATCATGAAATATCCCCTTGTTTTTTTGAATGACTGCCTCTTGGTCTATGTACAGGTTCTTTATGAGCACAATTAAGTATTCTGGAATTCCCATTCTTTGCAATGTTATCCATAAACTGTCATGATCCACATAGTCTAATACCTTTGTGTTGATAAAAACATGTACACATTTTCTGGTAGACTCTGTTTTGATCCATCTGATTTCAGCATTGATATGCCTCTTTCCAGGAGCTCTGGTAGCATAGTGGCTAAAGCACTTGACTGCTAACCAGAAGGCTGGCGGTTCAAACCCACCAGCCACTCCTCGGAAGGAAGGTTGGGCAATCCTACTTCCGTAGTGATACTGCCTCGGAAACCCAAGGAGGGGTCGCTGTGAGTCGGGGCCGACTCGACAGCACATAACAACAACAACAACAACATGCCTCTTTCCAAGCTCTTTTCTGGATCTGGGTTGAATTTCTGGCAGTTCCCTATCTCTGTACTGCTCCAAACATTTTTGAATTATATTCAGCAAAATTTTACATGTATGTGATATTAATGATATTATCCACACTCTGTTTGATCATCTTTCTTTGGAATGGGGCCAAATATGTGTCTTTTCCAGTCGGTTGGCCAGGTAGCTATCTTCCAACTTTCTTGGCATAGATGAATGACTGCTTCTAGCATTGTATCTGTTTGTTGAAATATCTCATTTGATATTCCCTCAATTTCTGGAACCTTATTTTCACCAGTGCCATCAGTGCAGCTTGTATTTCTTCCGTGAATAATCTTGATCATATGCTCTCTCTTGTTATGACTGCATGTAGACCAACTCTTTTGGTACAGTGATAGTGAGTATTTCTTCCATCTGTTTTTGTGGCTCCCTGTCTCAGTCTTTATTTTGTCCATAGAATCCTTCAGCATTACAATGGGAGGCTTCAATCTTTTCTTCAGTTCTTTCAGCTTGAGAAATGTTGAGCATGTTTTTTTCCTTTGTTTTTCTAACTCCAATCTTTGCAACATTTATTTCTTTCTTTTTCTTTCTTCATGGAAAAAAAATATATATTTCTGATTAGAGAGAAAGAAAGATGACTGTGACACGCCAACCATATGACTCAAGCTGTTTTAATGGGCAGGGGAAACACAGCAAATGCTCTCCTACTTGGTCCATTTTTAATTTATTGTCTTTATAACTGTTTATCAGCTAATGTCCTTCTTCTCTTCCTTCCTTCTTTATCAAATAATTTTGAAATTTCTCTTAAGGGAAGCACCAGTTTTCCCCTCACATTCATGTTCCCTATCAGATCATTATTTTTAACCTTGTATGTTATGTTAATGATAATATCCATATTGTGTTTGATGACCTCTTTTTGGAATGGGATCAAATATGGATTTTATGCTCTGAGAACAAACAAACAAAAATTCACTAACTCAGTTGGATCCAACTCATAGCAACCCTTCCTTGGGTTTCTAAGGTGGTATCTCTACTCAAATAGATTGTCTAATCTTCCTTCTGAGGAATGACTGGTAGATTTAAACTGCCAGCCTCATAGTTAGCAGTCAAATGCCTTAGGCACTACACCACCAAAGCTCCTCTGAAGAAACAGTGGGTGTCAATTGAGGGGAAAAAAACAAAACAAAACAAAAAAACTGTCTGTAATGGTAAAAATCATTTATAATTTTTTCCCTAAATGATCCTTATCAAAACAAAGTAGCTAGAGGTTATATTGGAACTTAAATGCTCAGTTAAAAGAAGGAAGGAAATTAGCACTATTGAATGTCTAGTATGTACCAGAAATTTTCCATATATGATTTCTATTAATCCTCATGAAAATACTTTGTGAATCTCTGCAACATTTCATTATAATATGTATAATATTATCATAAATGTTATAAATTATAGCATTATGTATAATCATAATAAGTAATTGTAATAATAATTATTAGTACTATTGTATTATGTTAAAGACATTTTAGTGTATATGGTACTGTTTCTTTAATGCTTTTTATGCATAGAAATGTACAGTATATACTATATACTAAGACAAACATTTGGTTAACTGACATTAAATACAAATCAAACCTAACTGTTTCAATTTATGTACAAATTCAGCCTAAAGACAGCCTTAGGAATGGAACTTGTTCGTCATCTGAGGACAGCCTGTATTCATATTACATATCAAGTTATTTTTTGAAATATTATAATACACAGTAACTTGTTTCCCTTTCAAAAATTATAAATTAAGCATACAGTTTGTTTACATGTTAAAATTTAATAAGGAAGTTTATTAAGCATCTATTATTTTATAGCTTCCATCTCATGTATTTCATCTACATTTCTTTTTAAGTCCCACTGCCCCTGCAAAACTAATACCAATTATGTCTGTGTTATGTATGACAAAACAAAACAAAACTTGAGAACCAGAGTTAAGTAACTTGTCCGTCATCACACGGCTGATAAACGATGTTTGTAAAATTCAAAATAGGACTGCTTGACGCCAAAATGGGACAAAGGTTGAAAACTGAAGAACAACAAACGTAGAGGGGCCAATGGCAGAGATGTAAGTTGGGGTGAAATAGTCAAGGTTTAGAATAGGATGAATACAGCTTCAGACGAAAAGTGGGTCAGGAAAAACGGGTTGCAAACAGAGTCTAGTACTTTAAAGCTCTGTAACTTCTGATACAAAGGCAGAAGATTTGCTGACATACCTCCATGAATCTTTAGCATCTAATGTTGAAGTTCTAGATTTGTCATACTGAAACTTAAGGCTAAAGATGCTTCCCTTGCTTAAAACAGACACAGAAACAGAACTCAATATGATATCATATGCAGTTCATAACTCTCTGTGGATCTCAAGACTCTGTCTTGAGATGAGATTAGCTCATTAAATAAAAGATGTTAGTAGTGATTAGATTCTTTTTTGCACTTGTATTTTTAGAACTCTCTGTTGTTGTTTTGTTGTTATGTGCCGTCGAGTCGGCACCGACTCATAGCGACCCATCCTTGGGTTTCCGAGGCAGTATCACTACTGAAGTAGATTGCCCCATCTTCCTTCCGAGGAGTGGCTGGTGGGTTTGAACTGCCAGCCTTCTGGTTAGGAGTCAAGTGCCTTAGGCACTATGGTACCAGAGCTCCCTAGAACTCTCTAGGTCATTGCTATTGAAGCATACAGAAAGAATACAAGCATTTTCCATAATTATAAGCAAGAAGCAAACTAAATATATAAAAAGTAAAAATCTATTGGACAAAAATATAATGGATATATACTTCAGAAACACTGAATTGATATGTAGGTAGTGAAATTCCACAAAAAATTTTTAAGAAAATATAAAATAACGTTTTAACTATTTTAACTAAATACTGAAATATTAGATGTGTTGCATTTATATTTTAAAATCTGGATCCAACTCCATTAAAAAATGAATGCACATAGGACAAGATAGACTAAAAGGTATCCAATTTACTCTTCTACTTGAAACAAGTGAAAAATGAGAAAATATTTGAAACAATGGTTTTCAAGGTACTGGACACTATGCAACAAAGGACAGTAATTCCAGAGAGATGTGATACAGATGAGCAAAGCTATACAAGTAGCACATGAGAGCATTTCCAGGCCTCAGCACAAAGTGAGGGAACTCTGGGGAGCCTGATGGACACCTGAACTGAGGAGATGAACCTGGGCTTTCAGAGAGATCAATGTAGCTATTGATTGCAGGACAACGTACTCGAGAGGAGAGGGCTGCGCAGTGAGAGAACCCTAGAAACCTGAAGAGGGTGTTCCTCGAGTGTTCCCCTCAGGTATGATAGGAAATTGGGGCTTGAATCCGTTCAAACTGGTCAAATCATGGCTAAAAAGTGAAATCAGAAGAGGTTAAATTTTTTTATTTTTTTATTCTGATTTGGGTGAAGATTTACAGAGCAAATTCACTTTCTGTACAGCAGTTCACATATACTTTGTCTCATGTCATTGACCACAGTTTACCACAATGCAACAGCTCCCCTCCCACTTCCTCCCCATAGTTACC